TATTGGTTCTTTTGGCAGCCCATGGTACTTTGAAGATTCTCCTCCAACGCCGTAACTCAAAGGCATCAATTCTTCCATGGTCTTCCTTATTCACTGTTCAGCTTTCACATGCATATGAGGTTATTGAAAATACCATGGCTTGGGTCAGGCGCACCTTAGTCCTCAAGCTGACATCTTTGCTCTTCAACACCTTAAAAAGTTCTTGTGAAACAGATTTGTCTAATGAAATACGTCATCTGATTTCTTGACTGCTGCTTCCATAAGTGTTGATGGTTGATCCAAGAAGAATGAAGTCTTGATACTTCAATCTTTTCTCTGTTAATAAGAATGTTGTTTATTGGTCCAGTGGTGAGGATTTTTGTTTTCTTTAAAATGAGATGTAATCCATACCAAAGGCTGTGCTCTTTGATCTTCATCAGTAAATGTTTTTTTTAAGTCCACTTCACTTTCAGCGAGCAAGGTTAGGCTTAGCTTTTAATAATGAATTATCTGATACAACAACAAAAGCACAAACAGATAAACATAATCTTTAAAAAAGGGATCTTGCAAAAACTGAAGATTTGTGTTCATCAAAAGACTTTACCAAAAAAGTAAAAAGACCAACTGCCAACTAGAAGAACATCTTTGCAACATAGATCCAATAATAATCTAATAATCAAAATATATCTAAAATATCACCAATTAAATAATTTTAAAAAAAGACCCAATCATAAACTAGACAAATGACGTGAACAGGCATATTACCAAAGAGGACATGAAAAGAATGTTATTAGCCCTCAGAAAGATACAAATCAAAACCATAGTAAGATATCATGTCACTCCCACAAGGATATCTAAGAGTCCTGGTATGGCACTGCAAGACAAGCAACTGGCTGCCAATCCCAAGATTGGCAGTTCAATCCCACCAGCTGCTCACTGGAAACCCCATACAGATCACCACAAGTTCGTGTTCCAGCACCCAACAATAATAAAGGATAACTTAAAAAAGTGGGAAAAATAATAAAAAACCACAAATGGTAGCAGAGCCATGGGGAAATTGAAACCCCTATTCACTGCTATGGGAATGCATTATAGTACAGCTCCTATGCAAAACAGTATGAAGACCACTGGTTCTGGAACATATGCTAGCTATATACTCAATTAATTGCCCTACAAACCACCAAGTCATGTTTGAACTCTCTGTCCTGTTCCACCACAACCAACCCAAATAATTTCTATTTATTATTCTGTTCAAATATGCCTTATTTTCCCCTTCATTCATCCCTATAATGCTGCTGCTGGTTTAGTTAGTGTTATCATCTGTCCTGGAAAACTACTTCAAATTAACTAATTTCTCTCATTTAATATATCCCAATGTATGACCAGAATTATCTTTAATAATAATCCATTGTGCCTTAAAACCTTTTAAATGTTCCACAATAACATAGTAAAAATCTACTTCTTTAGCATGACAAATAACATGCTCTGTGACGTCAATCATCCATTCCCATTTACCTTATGCTTCATGCATATGGCTTGTCCAAACCATTCATTACTGTCTAGCTAAGCTAGGGGTGGGGAACCTTTTTTCTGTCAAAATTTACATCATTCACAGGTCAAACAGAATTATCTATCACCTTAAAAGTTGCCCTGCTATATTTGGTCAAACACTTAATTAACTCAACCCTCATGTGATGACTGGAATTGTGGCTGTCTTGGCAGGAACAGACCAAATGATTCTGTGGGCCTTATATGGCCCACGGGCCAGAGGTTTCCCAATTCTGATCTAAGCAGTGCCTTCTGCCTAGATCATTAGTTCTCCTCCTTCTATCTAAAGAATAATCCAAAGCAACTGTTAGCTCCTCTGTAATTTTCTCAACACCTGAGGGCTTTAAGCAGGTCTCCTCTTAATCTTTCAAATCATTTTGTACATATTTATCTTCTTTAGCACTTACAATTTTTACTCATATATTTATCTTCCTCACTACTTCTGAAAAATAAAGACTACTTTTTATATTTTTGGATTATTTTCAATTATTATTACTACGTTGTTGTTGTGAAATGCCATCAATTCGGTTCCAACCCATAGCGACCCTGTATGAGGTTTCCAAGGAGCAGCTGGTGAGTTTGAATTACAGACCTTGTTTTCAAACCAACTTTGCAGTCCAGCGCATTAACCCACAGCACTATACCAGAAGTACACAGTACCAGACAAATAAGATTACATCTTTTCAAATTACTTGTTGAATGAATAGATGTTTTTGTTGAACAAAAAAACAGAAAACCTAAGTTCAGGTATGGATTAGTAACAAATGAAAGGATAAAGAGATGTAAGCTGCTCTTCAAGGAATCTAACTGAAGAATTTGTACAACTCATTATTTTCTAAAAACATTTTAAATTTTAGGAATCAAATACTGCTGCTTCCATTTGACAGTTCTGGTATGGAACTGTGGGTCAATGCACTGGACTGCAATGCCAGTTTAAACAGGAAGGTCTTCGGTTCAAGCTCACCAGCCACTCCTCAGAAACCCTATGTTGTTGTTGTTATGTGCCGTGAGGTCGGTTCCGACTCATAGGGACGCTGTATAGGGTTTCCGAGGCTGTAAACCTTTACGGAAGCAGAAAGCTTCATTTTTCTCCCGCAGAACAGCTGGTAGTTTCGAACTGCTGACCTTGCAGTTCGCAGCACAATTTGTTACCACTACGCTACCAAAGCTCCTTCAGAAACCCCATACAGGGGACTAACAGTTGGAACGGACTTGAGGGCACTTAACACCAAATTATCTTTATGGAAAATTCCTTTCATGGTAAAATTGTTACCAGAGTTCTTTCCAGTCATGGAAATACGGAAAAATGTAAAACAATGGAATCAACCGTAGATGGTTCTATATAGCCTTATTATTTTTGATATAGCTCAGGTAATTAATTATTTCTTACTTAAAAACAGCTTACCCATACTGTGGTCCTCCTGTTTTAATGTCTCCAATAGTGACATGAACATCATCCTCATCATCATCACTGTCACTATCACTGTCATCTTCAGTCTCGGTCACTTTCTACACCAATAAAAACAATTATAAAATATCATATACTCTTATTTTTCTATTGAATTTAGTAGCTGAAATATTCATTTTGTTTCTTGAGAAGTTAGAGCAAAATTATAAACTAATTTTAACACATTCATAACTTTGTTGTTCTACCTGATTAAAAAAGATAATACTACAAATAAAAAAGTAACACTCCATTGAACATCGTCTTTTTGTAAATATTTCCTTATGTACTTTTTCCAAAAGGCAACTGCAAAATGGTCAAAATTCTATAAAATAAGCACATGAAGAATTCTTTATAAAAGAATATAAAGTTAAGCGGAACCAATTTTTAAGATTCATTGCTCAAATGCATCAAGTAATACAGAGCAGCTTAACTATTTCAGACATTTATTCAGCGTAGTGGTTACGAATTGGGCTGCGAACCTTAAGGTCAGTGGTTTGAAACTACCAGCCACTCCGCGGGAGAAAGATGAGGCTTTCTACTCCCGTAAAGATTTATACCCTCGGAAACCCTGTACAGGGTCGCTATGGGTCAGAACTGACTCGATGGCACTTAACAACAACAAGAAGAGGTTCTTAATGCAAATGATGTTCTATCTGCATAAAAGTTGAGCCAGTTCTTTGGGCTCCAAAAAGCAATTATTTCCTTCACATAATAAATAAGCGTATCACCTAATCAAAATATTTTTAAATATACACGTTCAAGCCTGCAACATTAACTATTTTTAAGGACTGGTTGTGGTAGTGGTATATACCATGGAGTCAATTCCGACTCACAGAGACCCTGGACCCTGTATCGGGTTTCTAAGGTTGTATATCTTTACAGGAGCAAAAAGCCTCATTTTTCTCCCGTGGAATGGCTGGTAGTTTCGAACTGCTGACCATGAGGTTAGCAGCCTCACTCATAGCCACTCTGCTACCAGAGCTCCTTATTTTTAAGGATTAAGATATTAAAATATTCATAGATCTAATTATACTTCATCCCACAAAACATTACTTTATCAGGATCAGGAACTGTTACTTAAATTTTATAAGTATTGGCTAAAAAACTGTGACATTCAAATTTAGGTTGTGGGACTCAATGTTCCATTTGAAGATCACGTTCACTATGATATAAACATACTGACCATTCCGTTACTTGAAAGTACTAAGCTTCAAGTCTTGGCACATGTACTATTGTCTCGTGTGGTGCTGTGGGCTAATGTGTCAGACTGCAAACTCAGTGGTTCAAGCTCACCAACTGCTCCTTAGAAACGCTATGCAGGGTCGCTATGGACCGGAATCAACTCGACAGTACTTAACAACAACATTCTCCTCCTCAATAGTCCCTCTGTCAGCATTTGATGGCACAGATGTGCAGAAGATGGAAGAAGGATACAGAACGCATGCAAACATTTGACCCTGTTCCTAAATAAAGTAGTAAGCTATTCATAAAGATTTTAAACAGGAAAATAACCACATTTCAAAGTCTTATGTTACCGGTTTGGGTACGCCATTTTCAGCAGTTTCATCTTCAATTCCAGATGGAGGATTAGCACTAGGAACAGCAAAAATAAGTTAGACATTACTTTTCTAAAATACAGATATAGTTTATATTATTATTTTCAAACTATGTCTAATACAGTTTCCTAAAATTATTGTCTCCTCTAAATGGTAAGAATGAAGATGGTAAAAACTACCTCTCATTTCCTGTTACATACAAGTAGTGATCATTGAAAGTAAAGTGGAATTGCCTACATAATTGGTTAATGACTTGCAATCTCTCAGTGAGCTGTTGATTTTTTTCACATTTTAAAAATAGGTAACACACTTAGTCAATTCTACTTATTCTAAATCTTTTCTGGATATCCACTACATGCCAGATACTACTATATCTATAATTGCTATGTAACAGTTTCCTCTTTTTCCTGATGTGCAAGAAATTCAGATTTGTGATATCAACACATTAAATCTCTTAATAGTCAATAAACCTGCTTCTTTCTGGTTTCCTGTTTTATCAACCTTATTGGATATATGTTCACCGTTGTATAAAAAAATAAAGAAAATTCTAAGGTTTTAAATATTTGTCCACCAAATTGATAGTAACAAGGAGCCTGAAATCTAATTTTGATGAATTAGAACAACTATTTTTTAAGGTCAGATAAAACCTGAACTTCCCAACTTGACAACAAAACTAACTGTTGTTGTTGTAAAGTGCTATGGAGCTGTCACCAAATCACAGCAATCCTATACAGGGTTTCCAAGGAGCAGTTGGGGACCCTGAACGGCAGTTCAAACCAGCCCAGCGCATTAACCATCAGCGCCACACCTGGACGCCAACAAAATATATAACAACGAACATTCCAAATGGCCACTGACAATCTAATAACACTTCTACCATTATAGTGTAAATTGTTTCTTGAGTTTTTAATAATTATTATTTAGACTACTGAATGAGCCATAGCCTCATTTTACACAAGTACAAGGCAACTAAGCGGTTTGCCCCAAGTCTCACAATTAATTAGTATTTCTAAGATTAATGCTCAAAATTTGATACAGTTCAGAGCTCTTTTCACTATTTTTCTGATAATCTTTAAATTCTATTTTGTATGAAGTAGTACCAAAATAAAGGCGCTCTGGTAGCATAGGGGTTACAAGTCAGGCTGCTAACCTCAAGGTCAGCAGTTCAAACTACCAAGCTTTCCACAGGACAAAGATGAGGCTTTCTGCTCCTGATTCACAGCCTCAGAAACCTTGTACGGGAACCAATTTCATGGCACACCACCATCACCAGTGCCAACATAAACTAATTTAACCGCTAGAATAGTATTTTAAATATCATCACCAAATAAAGCAAAACGATGGAAGGTAAAAACAGAAAACTTCTCTGTTAAATTTTCAGTATTAGCGTAGTGTTTATGAATCGGACTGCGAACCACAAGGTCAGCAGTGCGAAACTATCAGCTGTTTCACAGGAGAAAGATGAGGCTTTCTGCTCCCGTAAAGTTTTACAGCCTCGGAAACCCAGTACAGGGTCGCTGTGAGTCGGAACCAACTCCATGGCACTTAGCAACAACAACTGCTTGACGTGAGAAAACAAATATCCAACTATAATTTTTCAGGACATTTACTTCGTGTCTAAAGAAGATTCTTGATAGCCAGAAACAAATCCCGCTTTGTCTTCTATGATACAAAACAGTATCATTACTACGTTTAACCGAGAATTAGATAAAACACAACAGAATTCAAGATTGTCATATAATGGTTAGAAACAGGTGTCAGCAACGAACTTAGTCACAAAGAAAAACTTAAAAAACCCAGACCCACTGCCAATCGATTCTGACTCATTGCAGCCCTACAAAGGAATTCAAGGCTGTCAATCTTTACAAGAGCAGAGAGCCTCATCTTTCACCTGCTGAGTTGCTGGTGGGATTGAACTGCCAACCATACAGTGCCACTAGGACTCCTTAGTTACAAAGATGCTGGGAACAATTTCTAACAACAGGTACACAAGTAAGATAACGCACTAAGTTGAAACATAGGTTTGGAAGAGCTCCCTGCCCCAAGAGACCTATAAGGAACACTATTTTTGGGTGAGAAAGTATATTCTAATTTCAGCTCCTCCTTATTCCTACTTCTCCTTTTTCCTTCCATCTATCTTTCTTCATAATAGTTTTATTAAAATATAATTAAACACCACTGATGTTGTTAAGTGCCGTCGAGTCGGTTCCGACCCATAGCGACCCTGCACAGGGTTTCCGAGGCTGTAAATCTTTACAGGAGCAGAACGCCTCATCTTTCGCCCACGGAGCGGCTGGTAGTTTCAAACTGCTGGCCTTAAGGTTCGCAGCCCGATTCCTAACCACTACGCTACCAGAGCTCCTTACAATCCACCTATTCAAAGTATATAATTCAATGGTTTTTAGTATTTCATGAACTACAAAAGTGTCATCACAAAACAACTACCTAATTTCAGAACATTTCATCACTTCTACCTTCTCCAAAACACAGACCATATCTCTGAGTCACTCCCCATTCTTCTTTCCTTGTAACCACTGACACCACTTATACTTTCTCTTTGGACTTGACTATTGTATTTCATATACATGCAATCATAAAATAGGTGGTCCTTTGTGACTGACTTCTTGGCATGTTATCATGGTTCATTCATGTATCAGCATTTATTTGTTGTGACTAACATTTGTTTTTATTAACAAAAAGTATTCAATGGTATGGCCATATATCAGTTTGTTTATCTATTCATCAAGTGCTGAACCTTTGGGTAGTTTCCATTCTCTGGCTATTATGGAGAACACTTCTATGAATATTTGTGTTCAAGTCCTTAGGGATGTATGCTCTCATTTCTCCAGCTGAATCACACAAGGTGCCCTGGTTGTGCAGTAGCTTAAGCACTGAGCTGCTAACCGAAAGTTTGACAGTTCAGACCCACAAGCAGCTCTGTAAAAGGATGATGAGACAGGCAATTTTCATAAATATTTACGGCCTCAGAAACTCTATGGAACAGTGCTACTCTGTCCTATCAGTCGCTCTGAGTCAAAACTGACTTGACGGTAATGGGGTTTAGTTGCATCAAACTGTGAAAGCCAACTGTGAAAGTACTCTAGGAGTGGAATTGCTGGGTCATATTGTGGTGCTGTGGGTTAATGCGCTAGACTGTAAAGCCGTCTGAACTGCAAGGTCAGCAGTTCAAGCTCACCAGCTGCTCCTTGGAAACCCTATACAGGGTCACTGTGGGTTGGAATCGACTCAATGGCACTTAACAACAACAACATAGTAACTGTATACTTTTCGTATTTTTAGGAACTGCCAGATTGGATTCCAAAGCCACTGCATCATTTATAATCCTTCATATACCAACAGTATATGAGGGTTCCAATTAATCTCTAGTCTCACCAACTACTATTATGTTTTCACTGTAGCCATCCTAGTGGGTATACAGAGCACCGTGACTCTGCAGGATTAGCACTAGACTGTAAACCACAAGATCAGTGATTCGAGTCCACCAGTCACTCAGCAGGAGAAAGATGAGGCTTATGGATCCCATAAAGATTTACAGCTCTGGAAACCCTAGATAGGTTCACTATGAGTCAGAACCAACTTGACAGCACTTAACAACAATCCTCCTGGGTGACCCTGTACAGGGTTTCCGAGGCTGTAAATCTTTACAGGAGCAGAAAGCATCATCTTTATCCCGCGGAACAGCTGGAAGTTTCGAACTGTTGACTGTGAGATTAGCAGCCCGATTCGTAAACACTACGCTACCAGAGCTCCTTAGGACAGAGTAAAACTGACTCACAGGGTTTCCAGTGCTGTGTTATCATTATGAGGAGCAGGGTGGCTCTGTAAAATAAGCACGCCAACCACTAGGTCACCGTTCAGCCCCTCAGTGGGAGAAAGATGAGGCTTTCTGCTTCCAAAGAGACTTAAAGGAAACCCTAGACTGGGTAGCTTTGAGTAGGCACTGCTGCCATGGCACCTAACAATAATGTGTCATTACCAAGACAGGCTATCTCATCTTTCTCTCATGGATGCGAATCGCTGATCTTTCGGTGGGCGGCTAAGCACTTTAACCACTGTACCACCAGAACTTGTTACAGCACACCACAGAGCTCATTCAGAAAAAAAACTTACTTGTGAAAAGTTAAGAAACTCTAAATTCAAACACTTGGTCCCCCAAGCTGCAAACAAATAGAAGTGGTCTAGGATGGGGTCCCAAAATGAGAAGAAACTCTTAAGGATTCAATGTCCTCCATTCTTGAGTCAAAATATTGTAATCAAGCCAATGAGTAAAATGAAATAATTCTGATTGTTGACAGAACCACTGCATCAAACAACTGCCAAAGAACAGGATATCTTACTAACCTGGCATTTTCTTCTTCAGGTCTTTCAACTTCATTTTCATCTACAAAAAAGAAAAAAAAAGGTAATACAATAAAATAAATATGCAACATACTCTCAAAAGAAACAAGCATTAGGAAAATCTGAAATGATCACCACAAGCACTAACCTAAGTCCTTTGCCAAATCAGTGTGCACATGGCACGTCCCATGGGCCTATAAGCACATCCAAAGTTAGGTCACCTTATAATGTAACATAAGTCTTTTATGGAAAATACATGTATCACCTTACTTCTATATAAATTAATCTGAGAACTTTTGAAGATTTTCCTATCTTTTGCAAAACAAATCCTACTACCCATTTTCATTTCAGAGAGTATTCTAGTCCATAGACTGCCCAAAAATAAGGAATTTGACAACTGCTATTCAGGTTTATCCAATTTACATCACAGAACAGCATGGTACACAAGCGGGCTCTCTTCCTGCACACTGCTCAAATGAATCAAGAATATCAACCTTAGGCCAGCAATCAGTAACCTGCAAATCTGATGTAACAGACAAGATGAAAACTGTGACTTATGAAAGTTAACAAACACATGTCTACCTCCTCTGAGGAGGATAGTCACTAGCTGCATTAAATTTAGAGAAAAAGAAAGACAAAATGACGCTGAAATTTATGAGTCTAAGGGACCTGAGATATGTACTTCTATGATGTGGGTTCAAAATCAAAATAAAACAAAAAAAATTTTCACCTGAATGCTTAATGCTTAAGGTTTTCTTTATGGGCCATAAAATGTATTCCATCTTTCTCTCTTATAAAATTATTCTGAAAGCACGACTTTCATCCAGGAAGTACCCTTGCAGGTGTCTTCCATAACACAAACTGACCATTGAGAAACCAGCCTTGAGTTGTGCAGCATTAACTTTATTTGCTGTTAGCACAGAATGTCTTTCTCAAAGAAGGGGCGCTAATGGGCTCCTCCGGCCAAGGAGCAGGAAAGGGCGCGCCAACACACCTCAGGATCCAGAAAGAAACTGGCGTCCAGAGCGTGGCGGAGGGACCCCGCGATAAGTCCCGCTGGAAGGACAAGGTCCCCGGACCCGAACCCCGAGACCCGGCTCCCCAGCACGGCAGCTGCGTGTTGGGGGCGTGGGCTGGGCTGGGCTGGGCTGGGCGGGGGGAAGAACCAGGAGGACAGAACGGGGAGGGGGAAGGGAGCGCACGCCGCGCGGGGCCTAAATTAGGCCCAAGCAGGCGGCCTCAGAAACTCAGGACGCTGGCCTTTTGCGGGCCGGGAAGGACGGCCTGAGAGAAGCCGGGAGAAAGAGAGAGGGACAGGAAGTTCCGTACCGCCATAGAGCCACTCTTCCTCCTCATCCCCTCCGGTCCCGCCGCTCAGCTCCGACACTAGGCGATCCACCTCGCCGGCCGACATGGCCGCCCCAAGCACAACTTAAAGGCGGCGATCAACAGCCCCCTCAGACCCCTTGCCCAGGGGCGCGAGAGGGATGCCAACCCAGCAGCGAGGGAACCAAGAAAGCGCGCGACTCAAATCCAGGGGAGGCAGCTGAAGTGGCAAAGATGAAGACACCAGCGCAGGTCCGCCTGCGCAAGCGCAGTAGCACCCGAGCGGCGCTGCGTCTCTAGATGGCTTCGCTTCCGCGGCGGTCACCACCTGGGCCCGGTTGCGCATGCTCTTCTCAGGTGGCCCCGCCTCCACGGACTCCCGCTTTGCTTTCTAGCGTGGTTTTCTCTCCTGGGCGCCTTCTAAGTCGGCCAGAGTTCTCCTCCCCCACCCTGGTTTCTAATAATCGGTATTGCGTTTGCGGAATAGTACACCATTGTTCCCTTCTGTCCGTGATGCTTTTGTCTTCCCAACCATTTCTGTTTAAACTTCAGAAAGGCGTTCTATTGTTCTTTACAAGTTGTTATCAACCTTGTTAAGGGAATTGCGACCCTTCGGTTCTGCTTCTCATCAGAGAAGAAATAATTCGTGCCCACTAAAAACTACATTTTCGCAGCAAGCAAAAGAAAAGACTAGTATAAGAATAATACATTCTTCTTGGTAAATATGCACACAAAACAACATTCCAGTTAAGATCAAAACCCTTTTATCCTCCACTGCCCTCTGTTCCAGAGCAACCATCTTTACAAGGGTAGGTCAAAAAGCATTGTTGTTAGGGGCCTTGGAGTCAGTTCTGACTCATAGTGACCCTATGCACAACAACAAAACTCTTCCCAGCTATCCTCAATTGTTGTATTTCAGGCCGTTGTTGCTGCAAATATGTTAACCCATCTTAACATATCTGTTAAGTAACATAAGTTTGTGTGTGGGGGGGGTGTCTTACTCTTTTTTAACATACATTTTCTGATTTTCAGCTGTTTCTTCTAATTTTAAGTTAAACCCTATCAACAAATGAAGATCCAGAAGCTTTACTCCATCAACATCATTAATGTCAACTCTACTTTGAGGAGGCACCTCTTCCCTGTTGTTATGTGCCGTGGAGTCGGTTCCGACTCATAGCAACCCTGTACAGGGTTTCCCAGGCTGTAACTCTACCGGAGCAGAAAGCCTCATCTTTCTCCTACTGAACAGCTGGTAGTTTCGAACTGCTGACCTTGAGATTAGCAGCCCAATTCGGAACCACTATGCTTCCTCTTCCCTAGTGATGTATTAACGTCCTTGCAATCTGAGGGGCTCAACTTCTAGCTCTCCACCAGAAAATGTTTTGCTGCTATTCATAAGGTTTTTAGTGGCTAACCATTCAGGAGTGGTCTGCCTCTCCTTCTTCCTAGTCTGTCTTTGTCCGAAAGCTCAACTGAAACCTGTCCACTCTGAGTGACCCTGCTGGCATTTAAAATACTGGTGGCATTGTTTTCAGCATCACAGCAACAGAGGCTACCACAGTATGACAAACTGACAGATAACCAAAAAATTATAGAAACCTTTTTAAACAAAAATATCAATATGTGATGCTATTGTTTCTCGGCATATCTTCCATCCAGGTCTACACACGTCTGAAAGCAGTGTTTCCGTAATTCTGACCCTTTCGCTTCTACACTACTCTTCAATTTTCATAAGGTGAAAAGAGCACTTTTGGCATCCTCAAGGGACTCAAACTGTGTTCCTTTGAAATATAATTGAGGGAACAAAAAGAAGTCTGAAGGTGCAAGATCAGGGTTGTAGGGTGGATAGGGTAAGGTTTCCTAACAAAATCTTACTAGAACAGTCCTTGCTACCCTTGAAGAAAGAGCAGGTGCATTGTCATGATGGAAAAAAATTCCTTGGCAGAGTTTCCTATCCTTATTTTCACCAACACAGTTATCAATTTTCTAAAAATTTCTTCCTAATAGGTCCCCGTGATCCTCTGTGTCCTTTGAGAAACTCTATTAATATTACCCTTGGAAATGCCTCTCCCCTGCCTCTCCCCCCACACACAGACCAAAAAAAAGCCCCCATAATCATCTGAGCTGACCTCTCTGCCTCTAATTGACCTGGCCCAGCAGATCCCCTCAGAAGCCACTGTTTTGTTTAGACCTTGTTCTCTGGATTGCTCAATAAATCCAAGACTCATCTCTGGTTACCAATCATTCCATTAAATTGTCTTCATTAATTTCCATCTTGCTTTAAAAAAAAAAAAAAATGATGGTAAGATCAGCTTTTTGAGCTAGCTGATCTTCAGGCAATGATTTTGGCACCTATCAAGTCAGAAGCTTTCTGAAGCCAAAATGTTCATATAAGAATTGAAAATTATGCACCAGGTGAGATCCCAACTTCAGTAATTGTTGCATTAATGGTAGGTCTATGGCGATTCAAAACTTCAGCCACATTTTCTAGTTTCAAAACACATTTTCTAGTTTCAAATACTAGTTTCAAAACTTCAGCAACATTTTCTTTATTATTTGAGGTAAACAGTCTTCTTTGCCTTGGCTTAACTTTGAGGTCTTACTTATTCCTGGTGTGTTACTGTAGGATAAGCATGGGACGTCAAACCACAAGGTCAGTGGTTCAAACCCACCAACTGTTCCTCAGAAACCCTATAGAGGGTCGCTATGAGTCATAACCTATTGTACTGCACATAACAACAACAATATCCTTAAAATGCCTGATCCATCTAAAAACTGTTGTTTTATGTAGGAAAGCATTTTCATAAACTTGTTACAAAGCTTCAAAGATTTGGGAAAAAAAGTAATATTTTAACATGGTACAAAAGTATCTCTTTTTTTAAAGGAACCCTACCAAAGAATCTCTGGTAGCGTAGTGGTTACGAATCGGGCTGCGAACCTTAAGGTCAGTAGTTCAAAAGTGCCACCTGTTCCATGGGAGAAAGATGAGGTTTTCTACTCCTATAAAGATTTACAGCCTCGGAAACCCTGTACAGGGTCGCTATGAGTCGGTTCCAACTCCATGGCACATAACCACCACCACCAGCAACACTAGGACCCCTGGCATGGTACTGTACATTAGACTGTGAAGCAGGAGGTCAGTGGTTCAAACCCACCTGCTGCTGCTCGGAAATTCTATATAGGGCATCTTATTGAGTCATCCACCACTTGTCAGTCAGTTTGTCATACTGTGGTGGCTTGTGAGTTGCTATGCCACCAGTATTTTAAATACCAGCATGGTCACTCATGGTAGACAGGTTTCAGATGAGCTTCCAGACAACGACAGACTAGGAAGAAGGAGAAAGCAAACTACTTCCGAATCTTTAGTCACTGAAAACAAGGAGCAGAGAACACTGTCAGATATAGTGCCAGAAAATGAGCCCCTCGGGTTGGAAAGCACTCAAAATGCAACTGGGGAAGAGCTGCCTCCTCAAAGTAGAGTTGATTGTGATGAAGCACATGATGTAAAGCCCATGGGAGAAAAGCCTGCAGGACCTTCATTTGCTGATGGGGCACAACTCAAAATGAAGAGAAACAGCTGTAAACATCCATTAATAATCAGAACATGGAATGTACGAAATATGAATCTAGGAAAATTAGAAATTTTCAAAAATGAAATGGAACACATAAACATCGATATCTTAGGCATTAGTGAACTGAAATGGACTGGTATTGACCATTTTGAATCTGACAACCACATGGTTTACTATGCCGGAATGACAAATTGAAGAGGAATGGTGTGGCATTCATTGTCCAAAAGAACATATCCAGATCAATCATGAGGTACAATGCTGTCTGTGATAGGATAATATCTATGCGCCTACAGGGAAACCCAGTTAATAACCACTATTATTCAAATTTACACAACAACCACTAAAGCCAGTGAGGATGAAATAGAAGAATTCTACCAACCTCTTCAATCTGAAATTGATCAGACATGTGATCAAGATGTATTGATCATTACTGGTGACTGGAAGGCAAAGGTTGGGAGCAAAGAGGAAGGATCAGTAGTTGGAAAATATGGCCTTAGTGTTAGAAATGATGCTGGAGATTGTATGATAGAATTCTGTAAAATCAGTGATTTGTGCATTTCAATTACCTTCTTTAGACAGCATAAAAGACAACTGTACACATGGACCTCACCAAATGGAATACACAGAAATCAAATTGACTATATCTGCAGAAGGAGATGATGGAACAGTTCCATACCATCAGTCAAAACAAGACCAGGGACATCTTCATGATGAACCTGACCTACACTCAGAGTAGTAGTTACTCTAAATACCAACAGAGAGGGAAAGAGTCTTCAAATCAAGTATCAATGCTCTCTGCTATGTACACAGGGTAGGTAGGGACGGGCAACTTAGACATTGGCTATCTAAAATGAAGGGACAATAAAGGTATGAAGTGACTGGCTTACAAGGTTTCAAGAGGGAGCTTAGTTTAAGAGTGTGGGGGAAAGAAAGAGTCCCCACTCAATAGCTATCATCTTGTCTAGATGGGTCTGGTGAAAAGAGATGGGGATAAGATTTGTAAAGTTCAATAGTGAATAATTGTTATCATGACTAATCGCAACTGTCACACTTGTGAAGGTAGAAGTTTTGTAACAAAAAAGGGGTAGTGATTAATCTTACAGTCTAGAAACAGAGGATCCTAGGACCATCAAGAGATGAACACACGAGTAGAATGCGGGACCTTATCCAGAGAAGCAGCAGCGCCAGAGATGGAGGCAGAGATGGGGGCATGGAGTGGGGGAGCAGCTGAGGACTCTAGATTCATCAACTAAGAAGAGAAGTACTAAGAGCTGGCAGCCAGGAGCAGACTTGCAGAATGTGCCCTTTGGAGATGTAAATTATTATATATGCCTGAGTGGGGTTTTTTTGTGTGTGTGATTTATAAAAAGCTAAAGTGGATAGAGAGAATACTGTTAACTGATGGTATATGGAGGAGATTATAATCAATGTAATGAAACAAGGTATATGAATTGTTGAATGTGAAACTGATGATGTGCCCTGTAAACTTGCCCTCAATCCACAATAAAAACCTTAAAAAGAAAAAAGAAAAAAAAGGCCAGGGGCAGATTGTGGAACAGACTATCAATTGCTCATCTGTAAATTCAAGCTGAAGCTGAAGAAAATGAAAACAAGTTTATGATAACCAAAATATGACCTTGAATATATTCCATCTGAATTTAGAGATCATCTGAAGAACAGATTTG